TTTCCTTTGAATATTTTTAAATTGGTGAACAACTAATACACACTTACTTACGTTAATCATTTCAAGTGATAATTTAAGATTTTTTGTTTTGATTGCATGTACATGTAGAAAATATTATAGAATATTAAAATATTACAATTAATTAAAATTGTTTTTATATTAATTTTTATTGGAAAAAACTATAAAATATTTTTATTAGAATGGAATTTTAAAAAAACTCAACGTGATCATAAAAATTGTGTTAAAAAAAAAAAACAAGTCACATCTTTTTTGTACTCAATTTACATTAGAATTTGTCAATAAAAAAATTTCTGATAATAAAAATTGTAATTTTAATAGATTTTTGCTTCTACATACTTTACTTTTTAGAATTTTTTTTTGTAATATGCAAATAAATTTAATCAGTTTTTTTATTTATAGATAAAAATGAGAAAAAAAATAGCAAAACAGTAGCTTTTTATAGTTAGTATTGAAAATTATCATAATTGTTTTTTTTTTATTTTTTGCTTTAAATTAAATAATTTTAATTGTTCTTTGTACATATACTCTGATTGGTTTAAGTAGAACTCTATAATAATCTGAATATATTAACTAACACACGTAATAGTTTTTGTATATATGTACACAGATTTAATATTCAGGAATATTATTTAATAATTATTCAATAACCTTATTTTGTTTTATTAAATAATAAATACTTATTGAATGCGATAATAAAAATTATTTAATGAAAATTATTTTGAAGTTAAGGTCGGTTTAACAAAATGCCAATAAATTTTAGTTTAATATTTGAATGGTTTATTTTAAAAATGACCCAAGTCCATTTGCAATCTTAAAACTCACATTTATTTCCAAAGCAATGATATAATATCAATAGTTGGAATTGAAACTCATGGATATAGGAAATAAACATAATATAAAGCAAAAGGTTTATTTAAACCTTTGAGTCGAGCAAAATTTCATTTTTATTTGAAATGGACCTAAGCCACTTTTGAAATAAACCATTCAATTTAACTTATTATTGACATTCTTTTTTAAAGGCATCATTTTATTTTTTACATTTCTCAAATATAAACTCTCAATATTTTTTTAAAAAATTTATAAATTTTAGCTTGTAGGATTACTATGCGCAATTTTATGTAATATTTGAGCCATTTGATTTGAGAATTCCCATTATCATTTAATATTCCTTACAAATATTGATTTTAATTAACGTTTTTATTAAAAAATTCACACTGCTCCCCAACGCATTACAATAATATGCAAATAAATTTTAATGTATTTTTTTTTTTAATTTAAAGTCTCAATAATAATAAAATAAATTTTTTTAATGAAACCAATTATTTTAAATGTGCTGTTTTTTTATTTGCATATTTTTTTTATTGATTGACATTTTCTCTTCATTTTCAGTTCATTATCAAAAGTGTCAATCAAATTTAACATATTTGTCAAATATACATTTGCTCATTTGCTAAAAATGTCTAGAAAAAAAAAATCAGAAAAATGGGAAAAATTTCATTTTTTATATTTTTTTTTTCATGTTTGTAAAAATTAATAAATTTTTTAATTTTGCATAAAATTATTATATTTATTATACCTACATACATATTTTCTTTATTTGCATTTCTGGTTCTGGTTCTGGTTCTCAAAAAAAAATTAATTTTTTTTTTACTTTTATAAACATATATTTACATACATATACACAGTGAGTATTTCATGTAATTAAGACAATTTGTTGAAAGAATTTTATTTGATACCTGTTTTATTTAGAGAAACCTATGCAAATGTTGTTCCTACTACCATTCGTTTAGAGTTTTAGAGTCTAAAATAAAGATATTACTAATACAATAAAATTGTTATAATAATAATAATATTAATAATAATAATAATAATAATAATAATAATAATAATAATAATAATAATAATAATAATAATAATAATAATTTTGTAGATGGCGTTACAAGTCATTACATACTGTTTAAAAACGAACAATAAATCAAATGTCAAATTTTACTAGAAATAACTACTTAATTGTAATCACAATTGTCTGAATTTTTTTTTATTGAATGCGAATACAATTGGATTCGAATTTTTTTATGAAATCCGATTATTATATATTATAATACAGTCATGAACATTTTAAAAAAAACAAAAGAAAATTAATTATTTTTAATTTTGTAAAAATTTCAAAAGAGCCGACCTAAAATAACATGTAATTAATTATAATAGTATTTTGTTCCGGCGCATTTATTTAGGACATTTAAACGCATTAATGTATAAATTGAAAAAAAAAAAATAAATACTCAAATAAATAAATTATTATAGCTTCAATATAATAAATCATATAATGCTATTATTAGATGTCATTTTCTTTTCTTGTATGTAGTCATAAATGCGTGCATCTTGCACTTGAAATATTTTGAAATTTTTGCTTCTAAAATTTGTTTTTTTTGTAATTATACTTACATGTAAATAATTTGAATGTTATTCAAGAATTTTTAATTAAAAAATATTTGAAAAAATAATGAATAGTATGAAAAATTTCTTTATTATTAAAAGAAATATAGTTATTGTTGCTAACACATATGAGATGGCCAGTAAATATACTAGAAAGTGTCACTTTCCGTTTTCGAATTTTTGGGGGTATCAAAAATTAATTGAAATGATTTTTAATCGCAAAATTTTGTAAATTTTCATTTTTCTAACTCAATTCATAATTTTATTCTTGTGCTGTTTCAAAAACGAGTCAATTGAAAATATTTGTAATTCTTTTGCTTAACAAAACATTAAACTTGTAATACAAACTTAACCTTTTGACACAGAAAAAAATGACATTGTCCTTAAAAAATTATGTAATAGCATTTAAATAATATTTTTCATATTTTAATAGAAAAAAAAATGATGTCATAACATTTTTATAACCAAAATCTTCTTATGCTGTGTGCACTTACACAATTTAATAAAATTATTTTTTATTAATTTAATATATAAAAAAACATGACTGGTTACATTGAGAAAAAATTTATTTGCTTAAATTTATTTTCTTCAGCAATACTAATATTGCTGTAAAAATTCTTCAGCAATACTAATAATTCAATTGCTGAATAAATTTTACATTTCTAGGTGTAAGAAAAATATCTCTCCCAATATTCGACTATGAACATATATCAAATTTTTTAATTTTCTAAACTGAGGTAGATTAACATTAAGCACGACTTTAAAATTTGCAGTAAAACTAACGTTATACAATTCAGAATCTTCAAGTACCAGTACTTTACAATTCATAAGTACTGATACAATCTGGACATCTTACTCTACAGGGTATAATAAATACGATCAGGATAATGTAAGGTTATGGCAATGTCAAAGAAATTATTTTCAAAATGTATTGAAGGCAAACCGACGAATGGTTATGTTAACATCTTATTGCAAAAATCGAATGGCCAAAAAAAAATTTCTCTAAAATTGAAACCAATTTAACATAAGAATGTATGTGTGTTGTGTATATTTTTATGTACATACACATTTTTATGCATATACTGAGAAAAATATGACGTAAATTTGTAATCAAAATTTAAAAAAAAAATTAATCTTACAAAATTGTTAAAAATAATGAAAATATTTTTTCTTTTTATTTTTATCAAAACAAAATTTTTAAATTTGCAAAAAATAATATTGAGAACGTATAACAGTGTGTGTGTGTATTTGAAGAAAATCGTGTTTTTATAATTTTTGCTCATTTCATTTTGTTCATTCCAATTTAAATATGAAGATGTAATTATTGTCATTGATTCAATTAAAATGTTCAACATTGATGATCTTTTTGATTCAAGAATATTTTAATAAGTTCTTTTTTTTTTTTGTTCAAATTTTCTAGGTTAAATTTTTTGTTAAAATAGAAATATTTCATTAAAATTAGAATGAAATTTTTTCATCCCCTCAAAAAATTTATTAAAATTTTGAAAAAAAAAAATGATTGAATAATAAAAAAAATTTTTTAAAGAAATTTTTAAAAGAAAATTTCGAATTTCTTTACCTTACCCTATGCTCTGAGTCATAATATTTTTGATTTGTTTACATTCAACTAATCTTTCTGCGAACTCTTATAATATGCTTTCAAAAAATTTCATATAAAATTTAAAATTTCTTTATTATTGCTAATATTGAACTAAGGTATGAATAATAATAATTTTGATATTTTCAAACAGATGGCACTTTCTTTTTTTTTTATATTTTTATACATATTTTAAGAAATTTAAATTGATTTTTTTTTAATGAAGAAATTGAAAAGGATACAACTTAATTATTAATTGCATATATAAAGGTCAAATATAAGACGTCATTAAATTCCACAAACGGTTTTTTTGTAACTATATAATTACTTGTACAAAAAATATATGTACGTATATGTTACGTGCGCCTTGTAAGTCAACAAAAAATAAAAAAGCTGTTATACAAAATTTTGAATGTGATAATTATGAATGGAAATTATTATTCTTTGTTTCTTGTAAATTGTTTTAATTAGTCATCTGCATATTTGTACTTTTTGTGTACTTATATAGAAAATAATGCTAAAAAAAATTTCCTAAATTTGCACGTTTTTATTTCACACGAGCAAAAAATATTCAATCGAATAACATTCTATGATGTATTACAAACTGTTCTAGAAATTACAGTGCGGATTGTAGAACAATGAAAATTTAAAAATGTTGAATTCTCTTTAAATTACAGCCCTGTGAATTGTCCTAATTTATACTTTCCTTTCTACAATTGCTTCTTTGTGATTTTTTATAAAAGTTCAAGATTAGATTTTGTTTATTATATTTTATCAAGTTACAGGATCTATTCAAAATATTTAATATGTATAATATATGAGTTGTTTGAATATTTTGAATTTCAATGCATTTCGAATTTTTATAAAATCACATTATAATTTACATATATACTTATATATTTGAAAATTATAAATTATTTTAATTTCAATTTTTAAAATTTTACAGACATATTCCGGTCTTTTCTGTGTAGTAGTTAATCCGTATAAAAAACTTCCAATTTATACGGAAAAAATTATGGAAAGATATAAGGGTATAAAACGACACGAAGTGCCTCCACATGTTTTTGCTATTACAGATACTGCATATAGATCTATGTTACAAGGTAAGTTTTGTTTTTTGAAATAAAAATAAATTTTGTATACAAATTTTAAGTAAGTATGGGTCTTAAATTGAAAAATAAGATTTGTGTCAAATTCTAACTTGTAATTAAGCGTCTCTCAGATAAAATTAGTGTCAGGAATTTATAATAATTACAGTTGCAGTTGACTTAAAGATTATAAAGTTTAAAAACTGCTATTATAGTCTGATGATATGGTTTCGAAGTAATTCCAACCCAAGTCAAAGTGCTTTGGTAGAATGATTTTTAAAATTTGAATAAATTGAAAAGAAAATCCTTACGCTGGTTTCGCTGGTCCTATAAAATTGCTAATGAAATTTTTTCATATACTAGTTATTTGAGAAATTATGATTCAACAAAATATTATGCAAATTTTTCATTGTCCCCAAATAGAAATACGTGCATACTCTTAAATTGTACAAAATATGCTTTGAAATTCATAAAATATTTGTTGTAGATTTCTGATTAAACACGATGACTGATTTTTTTTTTATCATCTTCCTTTGGTTGGTTTGTTTACCATACATATAGAAACAAATAACTTTGGAAAAATATAGTCAGATTTGAAATAATGTAACTGTTATACTTTAAATTTATGATATTATGATTCATTATCGTATTTTGTGTTTTCCCCCCAATTAATATTATAAATCATCGTGTAATCTACTTTTATGTATATTAACAGTCTGAAAACCATCCAATTGAACTGAATAAATATAATGAATTGTGAAAAGGTGTTACATTTTCACAATTCAAAAATGACTCATTTTTAGTATGATTTCAATTTTTAACAATAAAAAGAAAAAAAATTGTAAAATATAATACATATATGTGAATGTATTTACTTATTTACATATGTAATATTAATACCAGTTGAATGGAAAAAAACGTAAAAAAAAGAAAAACCTTCCAGCATTAACAATATTTTATTAAAAAATAATGTTAAATTAGGGTTAACTTTTTGTTTTCAAAATCACCATTAAAGTGTCGGATGCAATTTGAATATTTAAATATGCTTTATATACATATAGAAAACCACAAATAGCACACTAAAAGGAAAGAGTCAAATAACCTTGAATATTTTACCTATTAATTTGCATAATTCAACTTTCTTTGTTTAACTTCAGTCATTTATTTAAGTAAAGAGTGTATACATAGTATATTATTATGTCCATATACATATATACAAATGTATAGCATATTGTACTTGCATACTTATGTACCATACGGTTTTTATGTGAAAATTCGAGTTTTAACATTTTGTAATTTATTTTAGATTTGTTAATATAGTGCAGGAGGAATATTTAATTGCCATGTAATATGAAAGTTTAATACAATATAAAATATTGCATCGTTTCTATTAAAATTATAACAAAATATATTGTGCAGCTCAGTATATTTGAAAGTAAGAAGAGACAATGAAGACATAAAAAAATTTATAATAATTTTAGTGACCAGGATCACTTGACGTTAATTAATTATCACTACATACATTTCAGTTTTAATGATTATTTGAATTTGTATCAGTTTCGTAGAACATTAGTTTTATTGCATGCTTACACTTTTAAAAGATAGTGGTGTCAGTAGTTGTCACTTGAGAGATAGTGGTGTCAGTAATCTTTTCTCAAAATGTGATATTTATAAATATTCCACGTTGTGATTTTAATAGTTACCTCGAAATTTTCACATGAAAAATAAATTTTTAAATATTTTATTAGAAAAAAGTAATGTGATCAAAAGTTTTCAAAAACTTTAATTCAATTTCTTAAACATGTACATAACAGTGTATTTTATCTTTATTTTTCAAAGGCAAGTAAATACAAAAAACAAAAAAAAATGTTCTAAAAATATTTTCCTATCACTTATTTTCAACATAATTTACAACTTAACCTAATATTGGAGCTACTTCGGCAGCTACAGGCAAATTATAATTAGCTGAATATGTTGCTGCAGCACTTAATCTTAATGGTGCAGGAATTGCTGTTATAATTGGTGCAGCGATTCCATTAAAATTACGTGCTTGAAATTGTGAACTTCTAGATGTAACAAAACTAGGTGCATGTACTGCTAATGGGGCTGGCCCTACTGCTAAAGGTAATGCAGCTGGTCCTGCTGCTAATGGTAATGCAGCTGGCCCTGCTGCTAATGGTAATCCAGCTGGTCCTGCTGCTAATGGTAATCCAGCTGGTCCTGCTGCTAATGATAATGCAGCTGGTCCTGCTGCTAATGGTAATCCAGCTGGTCCTGCTGCTAATGCTAATGGTGCTGGCCCGGCTGCTAATGGTAATCTAGCTGGTCCTGCGGCAAATTGTAATGCAGCTGGTCCTGCGGCAAATGGCAATGCAGCTGGTCCTGCAGCAAATGGTAGAGGTGCAGGTCCTGCAGCATATTGAAATGCAGCCGGTCTTGCGGCAAATGGTGAACCCGCTACAGCGGCTGTTAATGGTAATGCACCGTATGCAGCTGCAAGGGGTAAGGCAGCAGGTGCAGCTGCTAATGGCAAACCAGGTTGTGGACCTAAAGCAAGTGGAGCAGCAATTCCTGATGGTTCACATGTTGCTACAACAATGAAAGCGATGACAACTGCAATCTAAAATTCAAAGTAGTGTTGAAACTTAAAATTCCATACCGGCCTGGAATATCCTTAGCTCAGAATACTTACATATTTGAACATTTTTAATTACTTATGTATTATTTGTTTGTTTAAAAAAAAAAGCTAACTAGATACTGTTAGTAGTAGCTACTAAAATTGACTATGTTTTCATTTAGAAATTACAAACCTTTTATACCTATTAAAGAAAAAAAAATTTTTTCTTGAATTCCTCATAAAATTCGGAATATAATATGGAGTAAAAAAATTTTAAAATAAATATATAAAAATGACATATTTGTTAAGGCAATAAGTATTTTAATTGAATACTAAAATTTAAAATTGAAGAGAAAAAAGTGTAACCAATATTTCTTTTACAGAATTTTAATTTGGCTCACTTTAAAATAAAAGTGTGAAATTTTTTAACATAAGTTAATAATTTAAATATGTAATAGTAACGTTATATTAGCACTTGATACATATAAGTAATTGCTGGAACGTATACGTATTATGGATTCAAAAATTTAATACTATAAAGTTGATATTCAATAAATTATATTAAAAATATTCTTTCATTAAACTATTTATAAAAATTTTTTAGTAAATTTTTTTATAAATATTTCAAATAATTGATTCGAATTTTTTTTTTTTATAATATTTTATTATGTTGATCACGTTTCAAATAACATTAGCTAATAGATTACGATTAGAAATATTTAATAAGTACATTTGTTAAATTTTCCGATATTTTATTTTGATTTATATTTATTATATTGCATTCATTAATTTGTAATAAAAATAAAACTTATTACTCGTGTTTTACATACTTTTATAAATTACATAAAATAATTCATTGAAAAAGTACATAATTTCAATGATTGCTTATAAAGAAGTTTATTATTTCAGTAAATTTAAGAATTGTTATCCTCTTTAAAGTGATAGGTTAAGGGATTTTGCGTGAAGTTCTGACAAAAACGTGAGGTTCAAAAGAATTCTGTAATAAAATTTTAAAGCAATATTCTGGTACTTTTTTTTAGAAAAAAATTGCATATCTCTAGGCTAGTTAACCCATTATTTCTCATTATGTATATTAATGTTGCCACATATTGTTTTAAAAAGCAATTTGAAGAGCAATCGTACAATGCAATTTTAATAACCTAATCCGAAAATTATAATAGTTATTTAGCACTAACATACGACGTATACTTGGAAAAATTTATTTTCCAAATATGTTCTTTTTTGCACTTTATATCCTTGTATATTAATTGAATGTTCTAGAATCTAGTCTAGACTATTTAAATAAGCATTTCCGTATTATTTTTTCGTATTTCTGTATATCATTCCGATTAGAGAATTATCTATTAGAGAATATTAGAGATTCATCTTTTATAAACGTCATTCATTCTACATTCGCTGACCAATTCTTATACGTAAATTATTTTAATGTAGGTGATTAAAAAGAGTGAATAAAAATTGTGTCATAACTATACGTAAACATTAAAATTATGTTGACATTTTTTTTATTTTCATTTTTAAAAATTTTTGTTTAAAATCATTTTGTACTTAAAGACATTTATAATTATAGACTACATTTGATGAGTTCATTTAAATGATTAAAATATTTGGTTATATTTGATTTAATCTATAAGAAAAAAATCTATAGCAAAACAAATCTTAATCATTTCCTGATATATCACATAAATATTAGAAAGAGTAACATCTATATATGTACGTACATATGTATGTACATTTATTTTAAAACAAACAACACACGGACATATGCAAAAGGTGACACATTTTTCATATATGTGTATAGTAGTTGCTGCATCAAATGAAAGAACAATAAAGGATCAATGACAAGATTCCTCTTTTTTAGTTACGTAAAGGTCATTTCTCTAAATGGTTTTGAAAAATATAATACATAAACAAACATATTTATATATTCATATTATAAGATACAAAAGAACGTCTCAAAAATAGTTCTTAAAAGGAAAAATACCGTCATCAGTTCAACTTCAATTATTATTCAAATAAAAAAATATTTAATTTAAATTCTCTATTACAATTGAATCTTCAATAAATATTTGCTATTTTATTGAATAAATATTTGTTCTACAGAATTGTGAATCTTCAATTCTGAATTGTGTACACACACGTACGTATATGTTCGTTGATATTCAGATGAAATTTTAAAAGCTATTGATGTTTATTAATTTATCATCAAAACTTTACGTCACTTAAAATTTGGAAAACTTAATTTTTTAAGATTATTTTGCAGTAGAACATAATATTTTACAGGATAATCTTGCTTAGAATTTTATATTTGCAGACTGAACAGATTAACTAACCTAAAGTCTTGGTTTCTGCCTGGAGCAATCTATAATCCTGGAACTCTATATTTTCAATAATTTGCAGTTAAAGAGAAGTAAAAATGCGATGTTGCGGGAATATTGTCCTAATTTTCTCTGATATCTTAGAACGATGTAGAACACTCAATCAACATTTTTTTCTCTTCATCATCACATTTTTGAGTGTCACTATACTATCATTACTATCTACTTCAAAACGAGAACTTTCACCAGTATCATCCTACCAATATTAGATTTGCTTATTATTATTTTCTGTTAGAATCCAATCTTTTTCCTCATTTACAAACAATTCAGATTGATATCACCTTCTGCAATAAATATCATGTAGTTTAGCTGTTGTTGCTCGTAAGTCATTTCAAAATTCAAAAAAAATTTTGTACGAGAAAAGTTGTCTTCAGTTATTTTTTTACTTTGCCGGAACAACATAAATTAATTTTAATTTAAGAAAAACCAAAATCAGAACAACAAAACTTATCGGTCTTCTATCAATTTTCAAACTCGAATGTTGAAAGTATCATTTTTCACAATGATACATATAACATTACACTATGAAAAATATATGAAATACCCGGGTACTACAGGTATAAACTTATAGTTAAAAGTGTTTATACACAAGGGTTAAAAGAACAGCTTTACGGTTTAAGGAGTTCTTGTTAAACATATACACTGCAATTTAGTATTAAGTTAGAACTGCGTTTTGAAAAGAACCTTAACACATGCATATATAATTTGCTTGAAAAATCTATTTGGATTAATTAAATGTTAGCTAATTGAAAAACACTTTTGCTTTAAATTTTAAAATTATTTTTAGTAATCAATTTTTATTTTTAGTCATTTGAAAAATATGATAAATTTATTTTCACACCAAAATCATGTGTATATACATACACGTACATATATATTAATGTACTTTTATATCGTTTAATTATTAAACTAAATATGGTTTGAAATAAGGTTGTAAATTTAATGAAATATTTTAAATTTATGAAATATTTACTCATTTTGTTATTTTTTTGTTAATTAACATAAAATTTTTCATAAAAATAACGAAAATTAATTAACCTTATTGATATTAAGTGAATTATTAAATTACTTTTTAGATTTTTAATTTATATCTTAATTCAATTTTAAGATTTAATATTAAAAAAAATATCCAAAAATTTTTTAAACATATTTTTTTATTTCTTAATGGAAAAATCATTTTAAAATTATTTTTTTTCCATAAAATCTTATGAAAAATTAAATGACTGGATTTGACCTTATAGAAAAAAGATTACCATAAATGGATGATTTAAAAAAAAAAAATAAGAAAAAAAATTAATATTTCCTTAATAGTCATTATGATTGAAGCTATTAAAAACTTTAATTTAATAACAAAACTCAGTTACTGAGTCTATTAACTCTATATATACTTATGTAATTTTTTTAAGTGCAGTGAATTGCATTGAAAAAACATTAGAAAAATGAGAAAAAATATTATTACAATGATGCAGCTTTCTAAGACAATATAATGAACCTATTTGCGTAATATTTTAATGCAAGATTGAAAATAAAAAAAAAAATGAGAAACTAATGCTACAGATTTATTGTAAATTGTATATACATATAGTTATTAAATTTGTATAAATACCGATCGCAAGTTATCGTATACTTATAAGCGTGTATAGAAATTCAATTAAGATTAGTAAATAAGATAAATTTGTTATAAATATTGAAATTAATTAATCTTAGAAATGTTACTTAAATTTGTGTTTGATTTGATTGGTTTTCCAATTGCCTCATATGCGTACATATATGCTCTTACATCATGCGAATACCTGTAAAAAATGTTCTAACGTACGACTTCGAAAATATTTTTTTAATTAAAAGTTCAAATAAATGTTCTTCAATCGAATTTCGGATATACTTGCATCATAATCTTCTTTATTTGTATAGTTTTATTAAATACTAACAAATTAATTTAATTGATTAATCAAATTATATTATTTATAAAATTATTCAGCATAAACTAATTGTTCTGCATAAACTTTTTATGAATACCAAAATTTAATAATTAAGTCTTATAGTTATTGTTTACTAAGGGTTATAGTTTAAATATACAACAAAATATGTGATTTTACTCTGAGTCTCATAAAAATTGTAATTCGGCAAATGATAGAAATATATCTATTCTCATTAAATTTACTGTTAGATTTTTTCAGAGTAAAATATTGACAATTAATTTAAAAGAATATGAACAGCGATTAACTAATTTTTATTTTGACTGTAATTTCTTAGGAATATTTGATCAAATTCTGAGTATCAAATCACTAAATGTTAATGATATTTATAGTAAAAATTTCAAAAATATTATTATAGACACAGATCATTTGTATGAACTAGTTTGTGTTTACAATAAGCATATCGAACTTAAAAATTCGATACTTAAGAGTAAGACCCATTATTAAGTTTTGATGTAAAATCTGAGCTTCATCAGATAATTTCAGTCTGATATGTAAAGATTAATAAGATTTTATCTTAGATTTAATCTTAAATTTTATTGTATACGTAGACCTTTATTATATTTCTAAATTTATAAACCTCCGGAGAGCTTACTGTTAAGTCTGAAGTTTAATTTTGTCCAACTCACAAAAACAAAAAAGTTGCACTTTTACATTACCTTTTACGATAAAAGTTACAAACCATTAAGTATTAAGGGTGTTAGTGGCTCTACATAAATTTAAAACCGATTTGTAAATTTTAAAACAAAATTGCATATTTTTTCTTTAATTAATTTTTTTTTAATGAATTAAGCTCTAGCTCCTTGAATTAATTAATTAATACATGTGAATTTATATTATTTCTGATAAAAATATTTCAATTACAATTTTAATTAAAATTTGGATATTTACAAAAATACATTCATTAATATTATTATTACAACAACAACAACAAATATCAATTACTAATTTAGGAAAGATTTTTAATAGATTTGATATTGATTTAATTACAATTTTCATGTCAAATCTACACAAATGGAAAATTTTGATTGATTGATTTATCGTTTCATTTTTATTCTTTCTTAAATTGATTTTTTTAATAATTATTTGTTTTACGTATAATGTGTGTAATTCCATTTGTTGTGATGACAAAATATTAAAATACACACATATATTAAATTATTTTGTAATTTTTTATTTTATAGTTGTATATAAAATAAAAAATTTTATAGTTATTATTTACAAGAAAACTGTAAGAACTTCATTCTATACGTGTATTGCATATTTGTGTTATGTTTTTTGTGTTCAATCAAAAATAGTGTTTTATTGGTGTCATGAGACTAATTGATATCTCATAACAAAAGTTTTACAAGATTGTGTCATAAGAAAAATTATGAAAGGAATTTACTTGAAAATGTGCGTGCCACTATATTGTAAAAGCTTTAAGTGCTATATGATTGAAAATTTTTAATAAAAATGAATGAATAAACTTAAATTAGTTAATAATGATTTGTAGAAATGTTATGTACGAGTTGTTTTTGCCTTCTTCGGAGCCGGTTCTTCCCTACTGGTCCATTGTTTCGACTGCTCTTTTGTTTCAGGAGTGTAATGATGAACCCATGTTTCATTCATTGTCATAAATCGACGCAAAAATTCGGGCTTATAAAAATAAGACTAAATAATACTAAAAAGTAAACATGGCCAAACAGTGCATTGAAACATCCTCACGATGTTGTTTGTGGTCGATTGTGAGTAAACGTGGTACCTATCTTGCGCAAAGCTTTTTCATGTCCAAATTTTCGGTCAATATCCGATGTACAGCACTTTTTGATAAGCCTACTATATCAGCTAACTCACGCACTTTCAATCGACGGTCGTCTTGTATAATTTTGTGAATTTTTTTAACCGTTTCTGGCATGGTGATCTAATTTGGTCGACCAGTCCGATGTTCATCATCACAGCTCGTACGGCCACGTTTAAACTGCGCTGCCCAATTTTTAATCATTGCATATGAGGGAACAGACCCCCCTTGTGTAGAATCTGGTTCACTTTTGAAAAAAAAAAAATAAATTAAAAGTGTGACAGTTAATCCTTAAAATGATAGGGCTTTCTGCCAGGCTTATTTTTTTTTTCAAAATTTTTGTGCTTTCTTGGTCAGGCTACCTGATTCTGGGACAGCCCTTGTATACATATAATGAAATGTTAAATGCATAATTATCAATTTTCTATATTCATAACAACAATTCATCATATTATATTGCAATATAGTCGGAAATATATGCAGCTCGTCATTCCTATCCAGTAATATATTTTTGAAGTCGATTAGTCGGCGTATAAACGTTCAGTAAATTTCGAATTCCTTCAAGAAATAATGAATAATGTGGTCGTGCAGAATTTTATTCAAAAATTTTTATAAATTTTTTATAATTTTTTTTTTTGTTCAGTGACATATTTTATTATCGGACCAGTTCATTAGTTTTTTAATGTTGTGCTTTGCAATTTTATTTTAATAGAGAAATGTATGTAGGTATTTTAATTTTGCTAAAACTCAAATGTAATTTTGAATGAAAGGATTTCTTGAATAAGAAGCAAGAATTTGTGAGGCAAGTTTGATTGTGAGATTTTTGAATATTTTAGAAATTTATTGTTTCCAAACCAGGGGGGAATAAAAAATGACAAAATCAGCATTGTAATTAGTACACTGTATTGGCAGCTCGTTCATTTGAATAAAAATCAGATTAAGAAATGTTATACATTAAATAACATTAACATTAATGTAAACATTTAATGCGAATTTGAATATAATTTGTTTTAAAATGAAAACTCTATTTGTCCTTGGTATTATTTAATTTATTCGTATTTAATTTATATGTTATTTTATTTTTCTTTTTGCAGATCGTGAAGATCAATCAATTTTATGTACAGGTGAATCAGGTGCTGGTAAAACCGAAAATACAAAAAAAGTTATTCAGTATTTAGCTTATGTAGCTGCTTCAAAACCTAAAGGATCTGGAGCGGTAAGTTATTTTTTTTCAATTATATAAATAAGAATTAAAAAAAAAAGAAAATCAAAATAAAAATTTGGATTAAAAAAAAAATGTAAAAAATTTTAATAACAACGACAACACTTATATTTTAAATTTTTTCAAATTAATTTTTTGTTTTTCTTTAAACGTACAAAATTATTTTTTTCTTCAATTCTCACTATTTATTTTAAATAAATTTTTTTTATTAAATCAATGTCTAAAAATATAAATTATTTCAATTTATAAAAAAAATATATTTTTTAATCTAATTAAAATAAACTTAAATGTTAAAAAAATAATTATGAATAGAAAAAAAAATTACATATAAAGAACAAAACCTTGTATTAAGCCTTTTTTGAAATGATCGTAAGTACCAAAAGCACAAAAGTTAAAATTAGTAAAAATTTAATAGTAAAATTAAAAATAAAAAATTAATAACTATTTTTTTCTTTTCAATTTTTTTTTTTAATTTTCCATTTATTTAATTTTTTTTTTTAAACTATAATAAAACTCAATAATTTTCTTAGTTTTATTAAATTTTTCTTTACAAGTCATTGTGCGCAAATTAAAGCTAATAGAAAAAATAAATCAAAAGAAAAATTTTTTTCAATTTATTTAAATAGTTCTTGTTTAATAAAATATACTAAATTCATAAACATGCATCTTAAATTATTGTCACGCAATTTAAATAAATAAACAAGAAAAATTAAAAGAATTGAGCGTCAAATTTGTATAGGTAAATTAAACTACGAGTATATTTAATTATTTGTAAATAGAATTAGAATTTAATTATATAGATTTAATATAATTCGAATAAAATTTTAATATTAATTAAATAAATATTATGTCCAAAGTAAAAAATAGTTTATAATCACTTTATACTTATAGCGCTACACAAAAATTCATTTAAGAAACTTAATATTTGAGAACAGGAACAGTTGTTTAATTTTTAAATTTTATAGAATTAAATTGCATACTTCGAGGATTGAAATCTATATAATATGTAGTCCATTTTTATGATATCACTTAAGAAATTATCCTTGAGATCTTATAACTTAGATTATTTAAACCTGTAAAAATTAAACATGAAATAATTTTTAATTTGCATATAAAATATTTTTTTATTAAAATCATTTTGTTCTAAATAAATTGATGCGGGATATACTATCATTCTACATAAAATGATCCGTAATGGGATTCGAATTTTTAATTCCCAGGGTCCGGTATAGTCCTATACAGTTTATTCTCTCAATATATTCTATTTTTACATAATTTCTTATAAATGCTTTGATAAAATCATTTAAATATTCTTTAAAATACTCTATTAAATTGCTTTAATTAATATGTCACAGTTTAAATAATTGTGATGTGTTAATTTCTTAAATACTACACATACATATACATATAAATATTATTATATAACATGTATATACATACATACATATGTGTGTATTTCTAAATATTATGATTTATGCAAATTTAATATTGTATCCAATTCTTTGTAATATCTTATAAATATTATTATAATAATCCATTCAATTAACAATTTTATATTTGATTATGAATTACGAAAACTACCATAACACAATTACAAATTTGCACGAAAAAAAAAAACTTATTATGTCAATTTTTATGCCTACTTTAATAAACATTTTTATATATAAAAAAAAAATCTAATTTTTTATTGCAATTTGTATAGTGTACAGGTATTCCTAAAGAAACCCACGTAAAAAAACTTTGATATTAATACTTTTTCTCAAATTTACAATTTATACTAGAGGCGGTAAATTTATTCATTTCTGTTGTATTTCAAATATAAAATAACAAAACGACAAAATCAAAAATGGCAAATTCATAATATTTTTTTTTTATTTTATTCAATACTAAAGCCGAAAGATTAAAATGAAAGCATTGTTGAGATGTGCAGAAAATAATTTAGTTAAGAATATTGTAAAAAAAAAAAATATTAAAATGAAACAGTAAAACTCTCTCGTATGTTGCTGATTTTAAAAAATTTTAAGAATTTCAGAATAGTTTTGTACGTTATTCAATTACGCCAAATGATTTTTTGAAAGTATTAATACGATTTTCGGATTTTTAAAGTCGGTAGAATCTTATGGTAAAAAAAAAAAATGGAATGATCATTTCAACACTCCTTAACTTTCAATTCGATATTCTTAAAGTTAATTGAAAAATTAAATTTAAAAAACAAATTAAGAATCGTTTAGTGAGCGTAAACTTAAATTTTCAAATTTTTTCTATAACAATTCAAATGGTGTTCGAACTGGTATTACCAAAGAACAAGGTTTACTGTATATAGTAATCAGTTAATGTCTAAATTTGTAAAGAAGTATGAAGTATATATTCGTAATACATAGAGATAATAAATATTTAGTCTATATGCATGCATACATATATGAATGTATATATCTTATTAAATTAATTTTTATATTTATGTATGCAGTACATTTTGTATGTGTTATCATCCTACGCAATTTATTCGAAATTAACTTTGATTAAATGTAAATTCCTCTATATGTTTTTTTTTTAGTGTTCTTCAAATAAAAACAGGTGAACATAATTATGAGAACCGGAAAACGATAAAGTCTTATTGGGTTCATCGCATTTATTATATTAAATATTATAAGGTGTTTCATTTGTTTTACATAAAATATTGTTGCGTATACGATAAAATCTACGATATCGTCGTATGCTGCATTATCGTAGATTTCGATGCAGACAAAATCTCCGATATCGTCGTATGCTGCATTATCGTAGATTTTGTCGTATCCGAAATTGTCACATATAAAAGATATTGTCTATACGACGTATAAATAAATCTACGATAATCTCTGAAATTATTGGTTTACATGTCAGACTTTATGACAAAATTTAACAACGTTGCTAAGAAAATTTTAATAACTTTCCCTCAAAAATTATTCCAGAACTTCAAAAATTAATCGTTGTAATTTTGCTTTTGAAATATCGGAAAGTAAAGCTGATTAGAATAGAGTAATTTCCGTTTTTTGCCGTCTAATTTGAATGCCAGATAGTGTTTACATTTATACGAATTTCATTAGATTCATATTAAATCTTAGGTTTCGTCGTAAATACATACATGTATATGCAAGTAAATAGTAATTTATATAATTTTGCTAATTCAAAAAAAAAAAAAAGTTATCAAGGGGTAGAAAAACTCTAATAGATTAATGAAAACCTCATAATTTTAGGAAATTTTGATATTATTTTCTTTCTTTAGATTTTATTAAAATTACATATATTTATGTATGTATGTATGGGCACAATATTTGCATAAATCTACATATTTTTTTTATACATAAAGAACACAGAAATTAAATTTTCTTTGAAAAATCTAAATAAATTTATCATTATGTAGCAAAGAAAATTGGCAAACAGGCAACTTTCCAATTTTGTCCATTATTCGCTATTTTTCAGTCAACATAAATGCATGTGTACAATATTTACAATATACTAAAATATATGTAAATAATACAATTAGCTACATATATGTATATTGAAATGTAATGATGACGATTAAGATAAGCAATTTTTATGATTCACATTTTTGTTTTCTAAATTTAGACATTAAAAAAAAAATATTAAATATTTTGAAAACGTTTTATATTTTGCCGCTTAATTACTTATCTATATTGTTGTGCTTTTATAATGGTGATATGTAATTAACAATGAAGAACAATATATATATGCACATAAGTGTATGTATGAAAAGTAAAATTATTTATTAATCATGTTAAAAGTGTGTAAAATTGGAGTAATTGAGAATATTTCATAATTATATAAGTACGTTTCATAAAAATGGAATATATGTTATGGTATATTTCACTAACCCAATGCACACACTTTAAAAACTTCAAAAATGAAGGGAATTTCTAATCCAATTGAATAATTCTTTTTATATATTTATTAATATTGAAGAGTTTAATTCAAATTGTTAATATTAAATTTGTTTATAAAACACATTTTTTATTATTAATTCAAAATTTTAACTGTTACCAGAGCATTATTAACAATACGAGTATAAGCTTGGAAAACTTCCAACTTCATTAACACCCATATTCTCTTACGCGCATTACTTGACGTGATGGGTTGTTACTCAAAAATTTGTAGTTTTACAAAATAAAATCAATTTGAAAATTTGAAATCTTCTAAATAATTTTACAAAATTCTGAAATTTTGAACTTATTAATTTATTTATTACATTGTATAAAATGACAATAATAATGAAAGCAATTTCAAATAACTTATAATTATTATACAATATAACTTTAATTACATTTTATTATATTTTTTTTTTTTTGTTATACAACTTTAAAACTCTTATACTTTATATAACTTCCTCCCTAAATAATAATATTATAAAACGTTTATAAGATAATTTTATTAATTATTATAATTATATCTATAAAACATGTTATGAATTTTGGAAATACAATTTTTTTAGGAAGTCAATTAAAAAATGTTACCACGTTAAAATTTAAAAGAAACAGTTCTTTTTTAAATACTACTACTCCAGGTATCGATAAAGATAAGATAATTTTTTAAATACACATTATATACGTATATTTAGATACATAGAAGCATATTTGACATTTCACTAATTACACATACATATGTATACATATTCATGATTAGTGAATAATGTATAGGTATCCAAACTTGTTTTCTGAGCTAATTTCTATTTTCCGATTAAAATGTGTTAAAGTACAAATTCTAAATTAAATATTCGAATATTATCTTGACTGAATAAACAAAATTAATTTATTTTGCCACATTTTTTTTATGGAAACAATATACAAGTACTTAGAGTTTAGGTATTTTTTTTTTAAGTAATAGCATTAAAAATATTAAAAGTATACAGAGGAAAGTAAATAAATTTGATTAGATAGTAGAAATTTTTTAAGCCAAAATTTTGTTTATCACTGAATATTAAACGAATAGTTTTAGTTGCA